TGACCATATCTCTGCCTGTTGCCTGTAAAGACCCAGGACTCTTTTTGGACGGTCTTCCTGCCTGCTGCCTGGACTGTTCGTTTGGCTATTGATGACCACATCTCTGCCTGCTTCCTGGACCACTGCTTCCCTCTGCTAACAAAGGCTCTACTATAACCACAGGTAATCTTCTGTTTACCCTTAGTTTAGCTAGGCTGTGAAAAAGTCTCATGCATGTGGTATCGCCATACTCAGGAGGAGTATCAAAATGTATTTTGGGGTGCAATTCTTGCTATGTCCATGCTGTGTTTTTAGGGCCAGGGCCTTTAAAAATGTGATGGGTAGTCGGGAAATTAGATGTGTAATTTATGCCCCTAGAATGCCTGAAGGTGCTACTTGGATGTTGGGCCTCTATGTGGCCAGGCTGTGTAAAAGTCTCACACATCTGGTATTGCCATACTCAGGACAAGTTGCAGAATGTATTTTGGGTGTAATTATTGGTATGCACATGCTATGTGTTAGAAATATCTTATAAATTGACAAATTTGTGCAAAAAAATACGTTTTTATTTTCTTTCCACATTTTTCAAAAAATTGTGGAAAAAAAACGACACGTTCAAAAGACTCATTATGCCTCATAGAATATACGTTGGGGTGTTTGCTTTCCAAAATGGAGTCATTTTGTGAGTAATTCTATTGTCCTGGTTCTCCAGGGCCTTAAAAAATGTGATAGGTAGTCAGGAAATTAAAAGTGTAGTTTATGCCTCTAGAATGTCTGATGTGCCAGGCTGTGAAAAAGTCTCACATATGTGGTATTGCCATACACAGAAGGCGTAGCAGAATGTGTTTTGTGGTGTAATTATAAGTATGCATATGCCGAGTGTGAGAAATAACTTATTAATATGACGATTTTGTGTTTAAAAAAGAATTGTGGGAAAAAATTACAACTTAAAAAAAAACTCACCATGCCTCTTACAAAATAGCTTGGACTGACTACTTTCCAAAAAGGGGTCATTTTGGGGGTATTTGTACTTTCCTGGCATGTTAGGGCCTCAAGAAATGAGATAGGCCATCAGTACATCAGGTGTGATCAATTTTCAATGAGTGGTACCATAGCTTGTAGACTATAACTTTCACGCAGATTAAATAATATACCCTGATTTGGGTTATTTTTAATCAAAGAAATGTAGTAGTATAAATTTTGCCCTAAAATTATGAAGAAAATGTACTTATTTGCAACATTTTTTAATAGAAACTAAAAAAAATATGTTTTGTTTTGAAAATTTATTTTGCAAAAAATAAAAACCTAGTGATTAAGTAGCACCAAAATAAAGCTCTATTTTTGTGAAAAAAATTATATTTTGTTGGGGTACAGTGTAGTATGAGTAATTGTCATTCAAAGTGCGAGAGCACTGAAAGCTGAAAATTGGTCTGGGCAGGAAAGGGGTAAAAGTGCCCTGTATTGAAGTGGTTAAAACTTCAGTTTTAGTTCACATACAGTGCCTTGAAAAAGTATTCATACCCCTTGAAATTTTCCACATTTTTTCATGTTACAACCAAAAATGTAAATGTATTTATTGGGATTTTATGTGATAGACCAACACAAAGTGGCACATAATTGTGAATTTAAAGGAAAATGATAAATGATTTTCAAAATTTTTTACAAATAAATATCTGAAAAGTGTGACGTACATTTGAATTCAGCCCCGAGTCAACACTTTGTAGAACCACCTTTCACTGCAATTACAGCTGCAAGTCTTTTTGGGGATGTCTCTACCAGCTTTGCACATCTAGAGAGTGACATTTTTTGCCCATTCTTTGCAAAATAGCTCAAGCTCTGTCAGATTGGATGGAGAGCATCTGTGAACAACAATATTCAAGTCTTGCCACAGATTCTCAATTGGATTTAGGTCTGGGCTTTGACTGGGCCATTATAATGCATGAATATGCTTTGATTTAAGCCATTCCATTGTAGCTCTGGCTGTATGTTTAGGGTCCTTCCTGCTGGAAGGTGAACCTCTGCCCCAGTCTCAAGTCTTTTGCAGACTTTTAAACAGGTTTTCTACTAGGGTTGTCCTGTATTTGGCTCCATCCATCTTCCAGTCAGGTTTGCCCAGCTTCCCTGTCCCTGCTGAAGAATGCATCCCCACAACATGATGCTGCCACCACCATGTTTCACGGGTGTTCAGGGTAATGTGCAGTGTTAGTTTTCTGCCACACATAGTGGTTTTTTTTAGGGACAAAAAGTTCACTTTTGGTCTCATCTGACCAGATCACCTTCTTCCACATGTTTTTTGTGTCCCCCCACATAGCTTCTCATAAACTGTAAGCTGGATTTTCTTTCAACAATGGCTTTCTTCTTGCCACTCTTCCGTAAAGTCCAGATTTGTTGCGTGCACAGTTAATAAAAATATGTCCTGTGGATAGATTTTCTTACCTGAGCTGTGGACCTCTGCAGCTCCTCCATTTACCATGGACCTCTTGGCTGCTTCTCTGATTAATGCTCTTCTTGCCCGGCCTGTCAGTTTAGGCGGACGGCCATGTGTCTTGGTAGTTTTGCAGTTGTGCCATTCTCTTGCCATTTTTGGATAATGGATTAAATAGATGTTTATTTAACGGTTCCAGTAGGTAAAAAAAAAAAATTCAGCAGTTTATTAATATTAAACAATGTAATCAATTAAATTTGGCAGAATAACTCCTATATAGTCATTGGTATGGAACTTTGTTATTCTTATTTTTCAAAGCTGCTCAATTATTTAACCTACTGTGTTCCTTTGTCTGCATAATCACTTTTATAAATTAAAAAGTTGAATATGGCCTTTACACCCTGGTCACATCAAACCCGACTTTGAAATCGTGCAACTTATAGTGAAGTCACATGATTTTAAAGTTGGGTGAACTGCCGATTTCAGGTGTGATTTGCAAGACATCTGACACAGATGTCTATGCAAATCGCACCAAAAGTAGTGCATGCACTACTTTGGAAATTGGTGTGGATCCGACCAAGTCGGAACCACACCAATATGACCGCTGTAATTGCGGACAATAGGGTGCGACTTGGCATGTGATTTGCAAATTGCATGTCAATTTGCATCCAGTGTGACCAGGGCGTTAAGAAGCATTAAACACCAAGCTGAAAATGATTCTGGAGTTGGTTTTATTTGTTCAGGAATTTTTGGATATTGCAATGAATCCTGTAGCTTAGGGGTACGGAGTTAAAATTCATGGAGGTCCGATCAGTAACATTTAATTCAAGCTGATGTCCAAATTGCATGTTTGTGTGATGACTCACAGCCCTCTCTTTTATTTCACAATCCCATTCTTACATCAGTTTCCTTAGTCCCCCTGCATATCACAGTAGTGTTCTGAACCCCCTTTCACAGCACCTCTCCATAGTGGTGTCCTCTGTTCCCCCTTCATATTTCAACCCCAAACAGCTCTTCACAATCTCATCTCCTTACACAGCCCCTGGAACCTCTGGCATCCATTCACATCACAGCCCCTTGCACCTCTGGCACCCCTTCACATTACACATCCCTCTGGAGCTCACCCTTTACATTACACAGCCCCTGCACCTCTGGCAGCCCTTCACATTACACATTCACATACACATTCTTCCATGTAGCCTTGAGGAAATAAGAGTAAAATTCTGATTTGCTGTGATCATCACTTTATTATTTTTGGTCGCTGAGACCAGTATTAATGTACTGGCGTACCTCGGTTTACGAATACCTCGGTTAACGTAATTTTCGATTTACAAATGAAAATCCATTGAAAATAATGGCTCGGTTGTCAAATTTTTTTTGCAATACAAATGGATTAATTGGTTTTCAATGCATTAACAATTTTTTTTCTAATCATGTCCCCATACAGTGCTATGCCTTTCAAGCGCACTTTATAAAGAGTTTTGAACAGATAAAACTTTTTTTACTTTTTTCTGACCTCCGGAACGGATTAATTGGTTTTCAATGCATTTAGGAATTAATTTTTAATCATGTCCCTGTACAGTATTTATGCCTATAAAGTGCACTTTATAAAGAGTTTTGAACAGATAAAAGACTTTTTTTTAAACCTTTTTCTGAAAAAAACAAAAAAAGTGAACATTTCGGTTATATTTCCATGGCCGAGCAGCTGCATTCAAGACTTACATCACCAACTGCCATGCAAATGCCGGATGCAGTGGCGTAAAGCACACTGCCACTGGACTCTAGAGCAGTGGAGACGTGTTCTCTGGAATGACGAATCACTCTTCTCTGTCTGGCAGTTCAATTAACATGTTTGGGTTTGGCGTTTGCCAGGAGAATGGTACTTGTCTGACTGCATTGTGCCAAGTGTAATGTTTGGTGGAGGGGGGATTATGGTGTGGGGTTGTTTTTCAGGGCTTGGCCCCTTAGTTCCAGTGAAGGGAACTCTTAAGGCGTCTTCATACTAAGACTTTTTGGAGAATTACATGATCTCAACTTTGTGGGAACAGTTTGGGGATGACCCCTTCCTGTTCCAACATGACTGCACACCAGTGCACTAAGCAAGCTCCATGAAGACATGGATGAGCGAGTTTGGAGTGGAGGAACTCAACTGGCCTCCACAGAGTCCTCACTTCACCCGACAGAACACCTTTGGGATGAATTAGAGCGGAGACTGCGAGACAGGCCTTCTCGTCCGACATCAGTGCCTGACCTCACAAATGCGTTTGTGGAAGAATGGTCAAACATTCCCATAGACACACTCCTAAACCTTGTTCCCAGAAGAGCTGAAGCTGTTATAGCTGCAAAGGGTGGGCCAACACAATATTGAACGTTACGGTCTAAGACTGGGACGCCATTAATGTTCATGTGCGTGTAAACGGCAGGCATCTCAATACTTTTTATATATGTATATCACTCTGGGCTATACAGTTGTTTGTGCCAGAGACTGATCAAATGTCAGTTTCTATACTAAATGTACTAGCAAATTCAATCTCTGTAATTTGTCTATAATCTCTTCATCAGCAGTGTTTTATATTTTATAGGTGAAGTTGCAACAATGAATGAAGTGTGTTCAGATATCTTGAATGGAAGCATTAAAGTTAGACTTGCAGCACAGAATGAAGCAGCATTATTGGCATTGATGGAAAGGACTGGGTACAGTATGGTACAAGAAAATGGACAGCGTAAATTTGGTGGTCCTCCTCCAGGTAACATTATAAGATGATGTATGTTAAAAACTCAACTGATGTATGACAGGAAGAGATATGTCTAGTACAGGGGTAGGCAACCTGTGGCTCTCCAGCTGTTGCAGGACTACAAGTTCCATAATGCCTCTACAAGTCATAGCTGTAACTGTCAGTTTTGTAATGTTGCAATGCCTCATGGGAAATGTAGTTCCACAACAGCTAGAGAGCCGAAATTAAATTGAAATTACATTTAGAAAATGGTCTACAGTTGCAAGAAAAAGTATGTGAACCCCTTGGGATTACGTGGAGTTTTGCATGAATTGGGCATAAAATGTGCTCTGAACATCATCTAAGTCACAACAATAGAAGAACACTGTAAGCTCGAAAGAGCAGGGCCCTCGAGCCCCTCATGTTTTGCATTGTATTGGTATTGTTCTGTCACATGTTCTGTCCCCCTTTGTAATGTACAGCGCTGAGTGAACTATTGGCGCTTTATAAATACTGTATAATAATAATATAATAATAACAACACAGTCTGCTGAACATAATACTACACAAACATTAGATGTTGCCATGGTTTAATTGAACATAAAATGTAAACATTCACAGTGCAGGGAGGAAAAAGTATGTGAGGCCCTAGCTTAATGACTTCATCCAGAGCTAATTGGAGCCAGGAGTGAGCCAACCTTGACTCCAATCAGTGTGATGATATTGGATGTGTTGCTGACAGCTTTCCTGCCCTTAAAAAACACACACCTGTTTTGGGTTTACTGGTTTCAAGAAGCACTGTCTGATGTGAACCATGCCTCGCAGAAAAGCGCTCTCAGAAGACCTACGATCAAGAATTGTTGACTTGCATGAAGCTGGAAAGGGTTACAAAAGTATCTCCAAAAGCCTTGATGTTCATGTGTCCACGGTAAGACAGACTGTCTACAAATGGAGAAAGTTTAGCACTGTTGCTACTCTCCCTAGGCGTGGTCGTCCTGTAAAAATGACTGCAAGAGCACAGCTCAGAATGCTGCATGAGGTAAAGAAGAATCCCAGAGTGTCAGCTAAAGACCTACAGAAATCTCTGGCACATGCTAACATTTTTGTTGATACATCTACAATAAGGAAAACATTAAACAAGAATGGAGTACATGGGAGGACACCACGAAGGAAGCCATTGCTGTCCAAAAAGAATATTGCAGCACGTTTGAAGTTTGCAAAAGAGCACCTGGGTGTTCCACAGCACTACTGGCAAAATATACTGTGGACAGATGAAACCAAGATTGGGTTGTTTGGGAAGAACACACAACACTATGTGTGGAGAAAAAAAGGCACAGCACACCAACATCAAAACCTCATCCCCACTGTAAAACATGGGGGTAGGAGCATCATGGTTTGGGGCTGCTTTGCTGCCTCAGGGCCTGGACGGATTGTTGTCATTGATGGGAAAATGAATTCCAGAGTTTATCAAGACATTTTGCAGGAAAACGTACGACCATCTGTCCGCCAACTGAAGCTCCGCAGAGGATGGGTGATGCAACAGGACAATGACCCAAAGCATACAAGTAATTCAACAAAACAATGGCTGCAACAGCACAGAATACGCCTTCTGGAGTGGCCCAGTCAGAGTCCTGACCTCAACCCGATTGAAATGCTGTGGCATGACCTTAAGAGAGCGATTCACACCAGACATCCCAAGAATATTGCTACACTGAAACAGTTTTGTGAAGAGGAGTGGTCCAAAATGACTCCAGATCGTTGTGCAGGTCTGATCTGCAACTACAGGAAAACGTTTGGTTGAGGTTATTGCTGCCAAAGGAGGGTCATCCAGTTATTAAGTCCAAAGGTTCACATACTTTTTCCTCCCTGCACTGTGAATGTTTACATGTTATGTGCAATTAAACCATGGCAACATCTAATGTTTGTGTAGTATTATGTTCAGCAGACTGTGTTCTTCTATTGTTGTGACTTAGATGACGTTCAGAGCACATTTTATGCCCAATTCATGCAAAACTCCACGTAATCCCAAGGGGTTCACATACTTTTTCTTGCAACTGTACATGCTTTTACTGTCCACAAAGCATATTAGCCAAGTTGTTCATCTTTTGCACCACCTGCTTCACCTATGTACAGTATGTCAGCTGGTTTATTGAGGCATATTTGAAATCTGATATTGTGTAACCAGTTAGTGAATAAACACTTGTCAGCTGAGAACAGGACTCTTATTTAATAGAAACTTGAACAGTCATATACTTATTGTAGATAACGAACGCAGAAAGTAAACAGCTTTAGTGTCCCCCCAAGTTTTAAAATGACAAAAAGATTGCATGTTCTAAAAATAAGAGGGTTCTATAGTTTTGGAGGTAGAGGTGATAAATAGTGGAGTTGTACATTTAATTAAATCACTTACCTTGAAATTAAAAGAAAAAGAATACATTTGGATGTTGATCTTCTACTTGATGGCTGCCACATTAGAATGGTTCTATAGTAATGGAGATGGTGGGCGAATATTATAATAACATCTCAGTGTTTTGGCCTCTCTCAGCCCAAAAGTGTGGGGTGCAGTGTCAGGGAGGCAGGAAGGTTTGGAGTTAGGGGTTCAGCATCAAGGTTGCTGGGAGGCAAAAAGATTTAGAGTCGGGTGCAGGGGTATGCAGTGTTACGGTTGCTTGGGGATAAGGAAATGCCATGTTAGGGCGCAGAGTGTCTTAGGTACTGGCTTCCAGCCTGAATGCCAAAGCTGTTTACTTGTAAACCTTTGGAATGGCTTCTGCGACTGTGCATCACCTGATATGACGTACAGTATCTCACAGAAGTGAGCACACCCCTCCCATTTTTGTAAATATTTTATTATATCTTTTCATGTGGCAACACTGAAGAAATGACACTTTGCTACAATGTAAAGTAGTGAGTGTACAGCTTGTATAACAGTGTAAATTTGCTGTCCCCTCAAAATAAACTCAACACACAGCCATTTATGTCTAAACCGCTGGCAACAAAAGTGAGTACACCCCTAAGTGAAAATGTCCAAATTGGGCCCAATTAGCCATTTTCCCTCACTGGTGTCATGTGACTCGTTAGTGTTACAAGGTCTCAGGTGTGAATGGGAAGCAGGTGTGTTAAATTTGGTGTTATCACTCTCACTCTCTCATACTGGTCACTGGAAGTTCAACATGGCACCTCCTGGCAAAGAACTCTGAGGATCTGAAAAAAAGAATAGTTGCTCTACATAAAGATGGCCTAGGCCAGTGATGGCGAACCTTTTTGAGCCCGAGTGCCCAAACTGCAACCCAAACCAACTTATTTCTTTCAAAGTGCCAACACTGCAATGAAACCTGAATATCGAGCTTTTGGTTTAGAAAAAACAACTCGTACAGTAGTGCAAACTAATTAACAGTACAGGGATGACCAGAGACTGCGGACAGTACAGGGATGACCAGAGACTGCGGACAGTACAGGGATGACCAGAGACTGCGGACACAGTACAGGGATGACCAGAGACTGCAGACACAGTACAGGGATGACCAGAGACTGCGGACACAGTACAGGGATGACCAGAGACTGCGGACAGCACAGGGATGACCAGAGACTGCGGACAGTACAGGGATGACCAGAGATGGGGGGGGGGGGGGGGGGGGGGGGGGGGGGGGGGCGGACAGTACAGGAGATGAGGGGGGGGGGGGGGGGGGGGGGGGGGGGGGGGGGGGGGGGGGGGGGGGGGGGGGGGGGGGGGGGGGGGGGGGGGGGGGGGGGGGGGGGGGGGGGGGGGGGGGGGGGGGGGGGGGGGGGGGGGGGGGGGGGGGGAGGGGGGGGGGGGGGAAGGGGGGGGGGGGGGGGGGGGGGGGGGGAGGGGGGGGGGGGGGGGGGAATAAAGGGGGGGGGGGGGGGGGGGGGGGGGGGGGGGGGGGGGGGGGGGGGGGGGGGGGGGGGGGGGGGGGGGGGGGGGGGGGGGGGGGGGGGGGGGGGGGGAGGGGGGGGGGGGGGGGGGGGAGGGGGGGGGGGGGGGGGGGGGGGGGGGTAAGGGGGGGGGGGGGGGGGGGGGGGGGGGGGGGGGGGGGGGGGGGGGGGGGGGGGGGGGGGGGGATGGGGGGGGGGGGGGGGGGGGGGGGGGGGGGGGGGGGGGGGGGGGGGGGGGGGAGGGGGGGGGGGGGGGGGGGGGGGGGGGGGGGGGGGGGGGGGGGGGGGGGGGGGGGGGGGGGGGGGGGGGGGGGGGGGGGGGGGGGGGGGGACCAGAGACTGCGGACACAGTACAGGGATGACCAGAGACTGCAGACACAGTACAGGGATGACCAGAGACTGCAGACACAGTACAGGGATGACCAGAGACTGCGGACACAGTACAGGGATGACCAGAGACTGCGGACACAGTACAGGGATGACCAGAGACTGCGGACACAGTACAGGAGATGACCAGAGACTGCAGACACAGTACAGGAGATGACTAGAGACTGCGGACACAGTACAGGAGATGACCAGAGACTGCGGACAGTACAGTAGATGACCAGAGACTGCGGACACAGTACAGGGATGACCAGAGACTGCGGACAGTACAGGGATGACCAGAGACTGCGGACAGTACAGGAGATGACCAGAGACTGCGGAAAGCACAGGGATGACCAGAGACTGCGGACAGTACAGATGACTGCTGACCTTTGGGGAGGGAGGGGGAGCGGGTACCTGAATTTGACAGGTACCCGCTCTTACTTCGCAGAGTTTTTTTTTTATCTTGCCTGTTCCTTTATCCAGCCGTGCGCTGTCTTCCCGGCTTCTGTAGTGTGGGCGCTCGTCGGACAGCCGGATGCCCAGTGCGCATGTGCGAGAAGCGCTGCGCTTTGTGATTGGTCCGGCGGCTTCTGGGATCTGTCATGTGTCCCAGGTACCGCCTTACCATTCACAAAGAGCACTGCTTCTTGCGCATGCGCACTTGGGACCCGGCTGTCACGCACACTACAGAAGCCGGGAAGACAGCGCGCCGCTGGATAGAGGGACAGGTACGGTCCCACTGCAGAGCTGAGCGGCCGGCCCGGTATTCTGACACGGCGGCGGTGGAAATACCGGACCGGCCGCTCTATATTCGCTCCATAAGACGCACTGACATTTTCCCCCCTTTTTTGGGGGAAAAAAAGTGCGTCTTATGGAGCGAAAAATACGGTATTCTCCTGGCGTGCCCACAGATAAGGCTCGGCGTGCCGGCTGTGGCACGCGTGCCACGGGTTCGCCATCACTGGCCTAGGCTATAAGATATAATAAAAAAAAAAATTTGACAGAAATCTGATGGGTGTACTCACGTCTGTGAGATACTGTAGATTCTTGCACTGCATTGCTTGCTGATCCAAAGTACATTGGGGGTTAGATATCTTGGAGAGGGGAGTCATTAGTATTATGTTATTCGTGTGCATTTTACTTTTGTGAAGGGCAACACACAGCACTCTATGCAGTGCCATTCATTAAGAACTGCACCCCAATGTACAGGTAGAGTAGGTGCCAATGGAGCTGCACTGCAAACCAGAAGCATGTTCTCACATTTTAGAGCGCTAAAAAAAAAAAAAAAAAAAGTGCAGGTCTGTTTTTTTTTCTATTGCCATGTGTTGGCAGACTATTCTTGATGAACTGGATGCCTTAATGCAATACATGGTAAAGTGCAATGTACCACAAATTATAGTATATACAGTTACAAACTGCAATGGAATGAAGGGGGTCTTAATAGTTTGGGCATATGCATAACAATTTTGACTTGTCTTTAAAATATGTTTTCTTGGAATACAGTAAAGGCAGATTCAGATACAGCTGGTTTCTGTGCAGGTATCATCAGGTGTTTGTAAGCTGGCATAGAGTAAAAATGCAATTATTTTAGTAAATATAAAATGCTAAATACCTTTTCTCATCAGCAGTATATAGCAGTCTTGTGACTTCTATCAGTGTCCAGCAGAGCACTTGTTAAAGCTTGTAGGAGGAGTTTTCATTCTCCCCTGGTTATCTTATAAGGCTGCAAGACCCCAGACCCTCTGTCTGGTCAGCCCTGATTGCCGTGTGCAGATCACATTCACTCTCCCAAGAAAAAAAAAAGAAAAACCTCTCCAACAATACAAACCAAACTGAGCATGTGCAGCTTGCCCCCAAAGCTCTGTTCTATCAGCAGATGGATTGGGGACAGTAGAAGAAAGTGAGCGATCAGAGAAGACAGGATCAAACAGCCTTTTCACACAATGCAGATGATTACCCCCTAGGTTCCACAATGAGTATAACAAGCATGTTTTACTGCATATACAGATTGATTTTACTGTTGTGGGTTTAGTATCACTTTAAACAGCAGTCTGAAACACATTGCAGATGAAACTATCATCAGCTGAGGGCTGAATATTCATCTGATAAAAATTAGTACATACTTTACCAGAGGACCAGGTGACAGCCTTACAAACTTGCTGGGCTGTAGACTTGAAAGATCAAGTAGAATGTGCCTTGAGAGAAGGGGGGATCACTGTCATCAGCAGTATAGGCATGAACAATGACCTGTAAAAACAATTGAGAAATGGTGAAGCCCTCTTTGAGATCCTTCAAAAAGGGCAAAAAAACAGTTATATAGCCAGATGGAAACCATTTCTGAGAGTTAGACCTACAGTACAGCATGGACCACATCCAAACAGTGGTCTGTGGAGTTGGGCAAAAAGAAGGAAGGAAATGTACTGGTTATAGTTGAAGAAAGACTCCAGTATGGGGTCAAGGAACTGTTCTTCTGTAAAACCAGGAAGGGTTCCTTGCACGATAGGGCAGCTTACTCAGAAACCCTCCCAGCAGAGGTGATATTTACAAGGAAAGCCTAAGGGCAGATGAGGACATATTGATAGGTTCAGAATGAGCTCTATGAAGAAATGAAAGCGTCTGATTGAGATTCAGAGGGCATTTGGGAGTAGCAACATGAGCAACCTCCTGCACAAAAGCTTTCACCAGAGATCAAGACGCTAATGGTCTTCGGAATAGAATAACCAAGGCCAAAATCTGACCATTGCGAGTGCTCAAGGCCAAATTCTGATCCAGTCCTGACTGTAGGAAATGCAGGATATGTCCCATGGAATACTAAAAATCCTGCTGTTCGCACCAGGGGAAATACATTTTTCATGTGATAAGATAGGTCTTGTGGGAGGAAGGTTTCCTGGTCTGCAACAAAGTTAGGATGACCAATTCAGAGAGACCCCTATGAGTCCTGTACCTGGGCTTCAACAGCCAAGCTGTCAAAGCCATCAATCAAGAAATAGGATGGAATACTGGACTCTGAGACAGAAGATCTAGATTGTCCAAAAGAGCACATTGCCTGTGTACCACACACTTGTGGGCAAAATTAGAGCCATGAGGAATACCAGAATTCCCTCCACCTCGATCCTGCGGAGCAGACAAGGAATAATCTTAAAGAAAGGAAAGATGTAAATCAAAAATAACCAATCTCATTGAGTCCCCAGAGCATCCACTGTGAAGGCCCGCAGGTGTCTGGTTCTGGAGACACCTATCCAGTTTGTTGTGTTATCTGGATGCTAGGCAATCTGTGTCCAGCGTTCCCACCATCTTCAAATGTTTTGAAACACTTTGAGATGCAGCCATTCTGTTAAATCTAGTTTCTGACAACTGAGTTACAGTGACATTGTAAATAGATAGGAAAGTATATCATATTTACTCATGTTAAAAGTTTTCTTTAATTTCTTCATATACAGTATTTCCTGGTTTCCATGCCCAGGCAAAGGAGGTCATACATCCCAAGAGTGGAGGAGAGTGGGAGGGGTTTTATAAGCTAAGCACACTCTCCTGCCTGCATGCCTGAGTTAGGGGCAGATGGATTCCACAACATAAATGCTACATGAATCATCTGCCCTTGCTCAAGACGGCCAGGGCCAGAAATACTAGGGGGGTGTTTTTCAAAGTGATTTCTCTGCAAAATAAAGTATGGAGATATGGATGGGTGAGTTTGCTTTAAAGATTAAAATAGCTTAAACAGCGGTTTTGGTTTGCGGTGCTCAGATGCAGAGTAGTTCCACTTTAACATTTTAAGTATGGGTCCACTGTCTATGTATATCCACCGGCATATCCCTAGCATCGACCTAGGTGACATGACATTCTTTAGTTGTTTTGAGATATGTCTGAAAATCAGGCTGATTTTGCAGGCAGGGGGTAATTTCTTTGTGATTTATTTAAGCGGAACTATTTTGGGTTTTATAAAGAAAAAATGTATATGTACTTTTTCATAATGTTTTTAGGATGGGAAGGTCCTGCTCCTCCACGTGGCTGTGAAGTGTTTGTTGGAAAAATTCCTCGTGATATGTATGAAGATGAATTGGTCCCAGTTTTTGAAAGAGCTGGAAAAATATATGAATTTCGGCTAATGATGGAATTTAGTGGGGAGAACAGGGGCTATGCCTTTGTCATGTACACAAGCAAAGAGGATGCCTTGCAAGCTATTCGAATGTTAAACAATTTGGAGATTCGTCCTGGTAAATTTATTGGAGTTTGCGTTAGCTTGGACAACTGCAGACTCTTTATTGGATCCATCCCAAAGGAAAGGAGGAAAGAAGAAATATTGGAAGAAATGAGGAAAGTTACAGATGGAGTGGTAGATGTTATTGTGTACCCAAGCGCAAATGACAAAACTAAAAAAAACCGTGGGTTTGCCTTTGTGGAATTTGAATCTCACAGAGCAGCAGCAATGGCGAGACGTAAATTAATTCCAGGTGACTCAAATAATTTTTTGTAGATTTGAATAGTAGTTATGATAACATTTATTAAGAATTAATTGCCGGAACTTGTTTTAGCCCCCATTCTCTCTGATGCTTCTTGTCATGCGATTTGACCTTTCAAGTCACATGACAAATCACATGCAATGATCTGCAGTGGAACTGTTCTAATCGGTGCGACTTTGTTGGAGTCACACCGATTAGAAAAGTAGTTCCTGCACTACTTTCCCCGATTTGGGGTGTGACTTGCATAGACATCTGTGCATGAAGTTGCACAGATGTCTAAGAAGTTGCACCCGAATTCGCACTGCCATCCGACTTTGAAATCATGCAACTTCAAGTGAAGTCGCACGATTTAAAAGTCGGGTCCAACGTGAACCAGGGCCTATTCTTCATAGCATGCTTTTATTTTATTTAAAGCTACCGTTCCTTTTGAGCTAAATAGAATTGCCACTTTGCCAAATTTACCTGAAAATTCACAAAAAGCAGAGGTTTTTTTGAGGGGTGGTGATTGCTGTAACCTTCCTCCCCTCAGAGAAACACACACAGCAGTGTACATTAGGTAATTTACAACTGTGAAAACAAAAATAAAACCTTTTCATGTCACCTAAATTACTGTGCTATAGATCCAACCAGCTGTAGCACACCAAAGTAGTCAACTTTCTAAAGATTGTATAAAATTCAAAGTGCCACGCTTATACAATATACTTCATGTGTTCCATTAAATCATGTGATATACAAATAAATAAAAATTCCATAAATAAAAGCCATAAATACATTCACAACTCTTAATTATCAATTAAAATAAATGTGTTCAAATAGTTCAGGTAAAGTCCATATAGCCAAACGTGCTAAGGCCACTTCAAGCTGTGGGTCTATCCCCGCTCTGTGACTACACTGTGCCTATATGCTCTGTGAGTGCTATTCACATTTTTTTAATAAAGAGATTGGAGTTTTTAATTGGAGAGCACTATTTTGTGCGTGCGTTTATTTTTTTTAAGGCTGTATTGCTGCCATTTCCAAGAGGAGAGGAGTTTTACCATTGAGCCTGTCACCCCATCTGACCTCCGCTTGTTAAAGGAAACACACGCACATTTGACCTGTTGCATAAGGGTCTATAATTTGAGGTGAACGGCTAGTATATGTTGTGGTAGCAGACTTTTGCACTGGATTTGGTGGTTATATATTATGAAAACATGCACGCATGTTTGACCTTAAATTGTTATTAAGGCACTATACACTCACCAGCCACTTTATTAGGTGTACCTTGCTAGTACCGGGTTGGACCCCCTTTTTGCCTTCAGAACTGCCTTAATTTTTCATGGCATAGATTCAACAACATTCCTCAGAGATTTTGGTCCATATTGACATGAGAGCATCACACAGTTGCTGCAGATTTGACGGCCGAACATCCATGATGCAAATCTCCCGTCCCACCACATCACAAAGGTGCTCAATTTGATTGAGATCTGGTGACTGTGGAGGCCATTGCAGTACAGCAAACTCATTGTCACCTTCGAGAAACCAGTTTGAGATGATTTGAGCTTTGTGACATGGTGCAATATCCTGCTGGAAGTAGCCATCAGAAGATGGGTACACTGTAGTCATAAAGGGATGGACATGGTCAGCAACAATAGTCAGGTAGGCCGTGGTGTTTAAACAAGGCTCAGTTGGTACTAAGGGGCCCAAAGTGTGCCAAGAAATATCCCCACACCATTACACCACCACCAGCAGTCTGAACCATTGATACAAGACTTGATGGATCTATGCTTTCATGTTGTTTATGCCAAATTCTGACTACCATCTGAATGTTGCAGCTGAAATCGAGATTCATCAGACCATGCAATGTTTTTCCAATCTTTTATTGTCCAATTTTGGTGAGCCTGTGCGATTTGTTCCTCTGTTTCCTGTTCTTGGCTGACAGGAGTGGCATCCAGTGTGGTCTTCTGCTGCTGTAGCTCATCTGCTTCAATGAGTGGTTATTTGAGTTACTGTTGCCTTTATATCATCTCGAACCAGTCTGCCCATTCTCCTCTGACATCAATAAGGCATTTTTGTCCACACAACTGCCACTCACTGGATATTTTCTCTTTTTTGGACCATTCTTTGGAAATCCTAGCCACTTGCCCTCCTGAGGATTTACCAATACAGTGATCAGTGCTACAAAAGAGCACTGACACTGTACTAATGGCAATGGGCAGGAAGGGGTTAATGTGAGGGGCGATCAAAGGGTTAAGTGTGTGTGTGTGTATGCGTGTGTGTGTGTTTTTTACTAGGGGGCGGGGGGGTGTTCTTCACTGTAAGCACAGTACAGCCATCCCGGGCAGTATGCTTGAGCTGACAGGGAGGAAGATTATTTGTAAACAAAACAATCTTCCTCCCCGTTGGAGATGCTCGGTAATCACTGGGCGCCGTCGAGTAATTACCGTCCGGGACCCGGTGATTGACATCCACGGCTGCGAATGGCGGCGCCGGTAGGGCGCTTGTGCGCCCCCCTACCCAGAAATACAAAATCACATATATACGTGATTTTGCACACAGATGCCGCCCTGTAGCAGTATATCTGCTTAAGCGGCTAGAGATGGTTGTATGTGAAAATCCCAGTAGATCAGCAGTTTTTGATATACTCAGACCAGCCTGTCTTACACCAACAACCATGCCACATTCAAAGTTACTTAAATCCCCTTTATCCCCCATTCTGATGTTTGGTTTGAACTTCAGCAAGTGGTCTTCACCACATTTAGATGCCTAAGTACGTTGAGTTGCTGCCATGTGATTGACTTATTAGCAATTTGTGTTACCACACAATTGAACAGATGTACCTAATAAAGAGGCCGGAGAGTGTACAGTAACAGCCTCCCACCTGCTTTATAAGGAAATGATGGGCGCAAGGTGGTTCTCTCATTCTGGGAGGACATCATATGATGTCCTCCCACTCTAACCGCGCGTGTGCGGCTGCGGCTCCGGGGGTGCGCAGCGTGGCAATCGGTGGTGTGCTGTGTCCCTCGGACACAGCGGATCAATGGAAAGAACTGAAGATGTTGGCTGTGTCATGTGATCAGCTGCATCCAATCACAGCTGATCGCATGTAAATAAGGAAATGCCGGTTATCGGCATTTCTCTCCTCATGAGCTGTCACGTTGACAGTTTGTGAGGAGAGGAGAGCCGGTAATCAGCATTCCTCAGAGGGGACATGTACACTGATCATCAGGGCACTGATGACCAGTGTGCCGTGATGATCAGTGTAGCCCCATCAGTGCCACCTGTCAGTGTTCATCAATGCCAGCTGTCAGTGCTCATCAATGTCACCTGCCAGTGCCACATCAATGCCACATATCAGTGGCCATCTGAGCTGCCTTTCAGTGCCACCTATCAATGCCAGTCAGTGCCACCTATAAGTGCTGCCTATCAGTGCCCGTCAGTGCTGCCTATCAGTGCCAGTCAGTGCCACCCATCAGTGTTGCCTATCAGTGCCATATATGAATGCTGCCTTTCAGTGCCCATCGGTGATGCCTGTCAATGCTTACCAGTGCCTCCTCATCAGTGCCGCCTATCAGTGCCAATCACTGCAGTCTCATTAGCGAATAACAGTGAAGAAGGAAAATCACTTATTTACAAAGTTTTATAACAGAAACTAAGAAAAAAACTTTTTTTTTTTTCAAAATTTTCAGTTGTTTTTGGTTTGTTTAGCAAAAAATAACCCAGAGGTGATTCCATACCACCAAAAGAAAGCTCTATCTGTCTCAAAAAAAAATGTCATATGGGTACAGTGTTGCATGACCGCGCAATTGTCATTCAAAGTGTGACAGCGCTGAAAGCTAAAAATTGGCCTGGGCAGGAAGAGGGTAAAAGTGCCCTGTAGGCTAGTGGTTAAGGTGAGTGGCCATTTTGTGAATTTGGAGGTGGTGGATTGTTTCATTGCACACGGGTTCGGATTCTGAAATTTAAGACAAATAGTCTATTTGTTAGCACCTTTGGCTATTTGGACTATTTCAGCACATTTATTTTTTAAGCAGAACTATAGGCAAAACTTTTTTTTCATTTTGGATAGAGTAAGAGAGGGTAATAACCCCTGCAAGGTTTATTTAAAACAGTAGTGTTTTGAACCCCCCCTTCACAACCGTATCCTCTGCCATCTTCAGAGCACCTCCCCACAGTGATGTCCTTTGCCCCCTTTCACAGCACCTCCCTACAGTGGTGTCCTCTGCCCCCCCCCCCTTCACATCTTAACCTCTCACACCTCTTCACAGCCCCCTAGAAATTACACAGCCCCTTGCACATTACACAGCCCCCTACACATTACACATCCCCTTGCAAATTACATAGCCCCCTGCACATTACACAGCCCCCTACACACTACACAGCCCCTTGCACATTACACAGCTCCCTACACATTACACATCCCCTTGCACATTACATAGTCTCCTGCACATTACACAGCCCCTGCACATTACACACACCTCCTACACATAACACAGCCCCCTGCACATTACACAGGCCCTTGCACATTGCAAAGCCACTTGTACATTACACAGCCCCTTGAAGCTATTCCCCTTCCTTCACATTATACAGCCTCTACAGCTCTGCCACTTCCTACCTTACTCAGGCACGCAGAGTGGGAAACATAGCAGCGCTGAATAGAGGGTGGGAGTTGCTGGAGTTAATTTTTCATATTAAGAAGCTGGTGATTGGTTGCTTGGTGGTCCTAGCAGGCAGTCACCTGCTGGTTAACTTGGAAAATTAGCACCGACAGCTCCCACCCTCTTTTCAAACCATGGTGGTCCATATGGGACAGTGACTGGGTCTGCATCCGGACCGTGGTCTGCCATTTAGTGATGCCTGTTGTATAAGCACTGCAGTTTGAATTTCATACAATTTCGCCACTTCTGCAGTCTGGCAGCTGGATGAAAGGGAGATAGATCATCATATAGATATCATTACTTTGCATGCATGGATTATGAATTGGGAGGAACAACCAACTCCAGTGTTGTGTGTAC